ATTATTAAATGAATTATTATTATTATTTCTGCAGTTTAGCGCCATCTGCTGTCAGAGAGTGAAAGTGCGCTTTCATCCAGAGCGTCTCTCAGATGTTCCGCCATGTGCTTCTCGTCCGCGCTTATTTACATCAGAGTGTGGGACACGCGTCTTTCACGCAGCATCCAGGGGTGTTGTGCATTTTGACCAGTTGATGGGAAAAGTATTCTTAAAATGCATTCAAAATTCGGAATAATTTGTAATATATAATTATTCACGGTATTTAGAAGTGCCCACGATAACAATATCGTGCATATTCATTACCGTGATATATCGCATTACCGAATACCGGCACAAGTCTAGCCCCTACATATAAATGCTATAACTTCACCATTATGAGGCAAAAAGCATCTTTCTCTGTAGGGCAGACATGAATATTTACAAAAGAGGTGCTAACGCATGTCCCGACTACCAATAAAGGTCTCTTAAAAGAATATAAATACACAAGGGCATCCTGGGACACCAATACCTTCTCGATCTCTTCCAGATAACAGTCGATGTAGTCTCTGGGGTTGGACGGGTCTCTCTCCTCCTTGTGTTTTCTGATTTCCTCCTGCAGGAAGGGCTTAAGTTTAGATATGCTGGCGAATGCCGTCTGGTGTTTTCCTGGCAGCATCGACATGAGGGTGGGAAACTGATTATATAACTGTAAAGAGACAAATAAAGGACAAACATATGTTCAAACAATGCACTACTTTTCATAAAACATGAAATTGGCTTTATTGACAAGTGCTATGCTACAGCATTAATTTCATTTCAGTTTAACTAGTTTTCTCAACGTTTGGGTTAGTCTTTTTATTAGCCTTGTGATAGCAGGCTGATCTCGTACCCGACCCCAGTTCGAGATGGGAAGCTGTAGGAATTCATCTAAATACTTCTGCATCAGATGAAAATTATGGTCATCATACTCAAACCTGTGACCAAACACCAACCCACAGATTATATTAGCCACAGCATCCGTCACAAAATGCTGAGGGTCGAAGGGCAAACCTAGAAACACAATAAAGAAAGAAAAGAACAATGTTATGAGGTCAAAATGCTTCTATTCACATGCTACCACACATTTGCTCACAATTAATTTATTTATTTATTTAACATTTTTACATTTTATTTTGTTTTTATTTACTATTATTAAATTATCTTTTTTAATCATTTATGATCATTACATTTTGCTTTTACTTATTTTATTTATTATTATTATTATTATTTTATTACTTAATAATGTATTTATGATATTTTATTTTTATTTTAATACTTATTATTAAATAATTGTCTGTTATATTGTTTATAAGTTATTTATTATCATAAAATTTTATTATTTTTTTATGATTATTAGTATTAGTAGCTATTATTATTAAAACATTAAAATCCTGAACATTTCTGTTTATTTACAGGTACAAAAAAATCCCAGATTTTCAATGTGGCCTCAGACTTTTGAATCTCACTGTTTATTTGTTTAAATGAAAAGAGAAAAATTCAGAAAGATGAGCTCTCGTGGTTTCCCAGATATTTGACCTTCAAAGGACACTTGCACTTGCAGATGGCGGCCTGTAGAGGACAGTATGTACATACGTCCCTTCACGACATGATTATGACACTGAAAATGTCACACCCTGGTCTTGAAACATTTCACTGGAGTTTTGGTAAAAGAATGACAACAATCTTGTTTGTGAAGGAGAAGAAATGGTGTTTACCCCTAAAATGTTGCTCACTGACCTCGTTCAGTCTGTATAGAGTCACAGAGAAAGCGACACTCCTGCAGGATGAAGTTTTCTAGAGTTTTCTTCCCCACACCAAAGTACTTGAGAGTTGCCAGAGCAAAACGCCTCTGCTGACGCCACATGTGTCCGCTGGACATAATCAGACCTACACAGACAGAATGAAGTGGACAAAGGTCAATTTTAGAACGAAAATGATTTCGATTTTGCCAGTATTGAATCTGATTGCTGCAATAAAGCTTTTTCTGCATCTGTACCTTTCCCTTTACTGAGCTTGTCAACTATAGGGAAGTACGGCCGGTCTGTGAAGATGTCCGCCTGCTCCACAAACGCCTCTTTGAAACTCTCGTATCCAGTAAGCAGTATGCACGGTTTGTTTCCCAGATACAGTGTGCTCACATCTCCATACCTCTCAGCAATCTGGTCAACATGATCTGTACACGTTACTCATTCACACAGAATTGTTTAACACATTTGTATTTGATATGTGACTTACCCTCTGAAAGGCGCCAAGTGGATCACTAAAGCCTATATTTATAAAGTTCCCAACCAAAGGCAGAGGGAAGGGTCCTGGCGGCATGTTGTTTGTAAGAACATCTCGCAGGTGTTTCACCAGCAGCAGCGCACACAGAAATATCAGGAGACCCTGAACATCCATCCACTGACCCATCAGCTGTGACAGCACTGATGCCATGCTTACTGATACTAGAGGCAGGTTACACAAAAATATACCATTCAAAAATGCATTTAAAATTAAAAAATTATATTATATAACACAAACAAATTAATTAATAAATACATACAGAAAAAATAAATAAATGTAGGCAAAACTGCAAATATATTAATCAGTACAACATGAATAATAATCATGTGACACTGAAGACTGGAGTAATGATGTTGAAAATTCAGCTTTGCATCACAGGAATAAATTACATATTATAATATATTCAAATAGAAAATGGCCGTTTTAAATTGTAATAATATTGCACAATATTACTGATTTTACTGTATTGTTATCAAATAAATACAGTCTTTAGGGGGCATAGGAGACAGGACCGACCCCAAACTTTTGAACAGTAATGTGTGTGTGTGTGTGTGTGTATA